TTAACCTGCCAGTACGGACGTTAGCCGCGGATCTGCATCATTTTTATAGTGGACGGGCTCCCATTACTGGGCAGGAGCAACTTCTTTCATTAAAAAGTGAAAATTCGGAAGAAAAATCAAAATTCCGCGAAAAACACAAAATGGGCGTGGTCAGAGGAGGCGGGGCTTAGTGTGCTAGTGTGCAAATGCGTGGCTATTAGTATATGCGTTTTGTGAAGATTCAATGTGAAAAGATCTACGTCGAAAAAAGTTATAAAAATTCAAAACTTGCGTAACTTCATTGAAAAGTGGGCGGAGTCATATATGTGTCGGTACCAAACCTATTCAGTTGAAGTGTGTGTGTCAAATAGCAAAAGTGAAAAAAATTCGAAGAAGCAGAATTCATAAAACATTTTGGAAAACCATGACCGCGCTAAGAAGTGGGCGGGATGTTGGGGCGGGGCTTGCAGCAGTACCTAGTGTGCTCTAGTTCTCAACTGCCCATTGTAAGTGTCCAATTTGATTTGAAAAGTGTCCGATTTGGTTTGAAAAGTGTCCGATTTGGTTTGAAAAGTGTCCGATTTAAAGTGAAAATGGTATATAATATATGAAACAAGAAAAATTACGAGAAATCAACAGCCTCTCTCAGAAAGCCAGAAGACAAATGCGACCCCTACCCTCTCCCAACAACGAGCGAATACGACCTCCCCCCACTTCATAAAGTGAAACAAGAAAAAACAACTATCGAAACAATTTTCTCGGACTAATTATGAGCCCCAACCACTAAATACGACTCCCCTGTTGAGGGATCCCCAGCGCCATGGACAGCCGTGGAGACGTTAGCGCTGCACAAAGTGTCTTAGCTATGAAAAGTCACAGTACATTTAAAGGCCGATAAGATCACAGCAGCGATTTGAAGTTGAGTGAAACATGGAAAACTTACTGAGAAATTCACTCCGCCTTCATGCATGGAGGCTTCTAAACCACCGGATAGCTCAGTTATCGCAGATTTCAGCTCCACCTGTAAGAAATAACCTCAGAAACGAAATAGAAGCCTACACAAGAAGAAGAAAAGCATACAAGATCTATGAGACGAAGGAGAATTCTAAAACCAAAAGCTCTTGGCTTACTTGCTCAATGACTTTCCACAGTTCCTCATCACTATACTGATTGAATGGATCGAGATTTCTGCGCAGACTGCCAATAAACAGAACGGGCTCCTAGAAAGACAAACTTTTCATCAGCAAAAGTGCATCTTACAAACCTATACGGCGCTGTTCAGTTTGCGGTGGAGGGGGAGGGGAATAATTCTTACACCTAATTCTTTTACTAATAACCTGTATCGTGTCGAGTGTGAACGAAACGTTCGCTATTAAGTAGCTTTACAAGGGTTTGCAGGTCCCACTGAAAGCATCGGCAATCACTCAGTAAAAGTAAGTAAGAAAACTAGTTAACTGCCCGATCCAGCCGAACTGCACCACTGTTAGAACTAAAATAACCGAACTTGAAGAGATGTAAAGAAGAGTGAAAAATAACGAGCGGTGGAGGGAAGGGGTGCAGGAACGCAGCTACACTACCCACCCGACTGGAACTTGTATTATTCCGGGCGCGTACTTGAACACAACAGTATGTGGCGAAGTGCCCCGTGCACAGCAGACTAATTCCCGTACTACTAATGTAATCTAATAGTGTTCGGGAGACGTTGGGAATTCTCAGTCAGCTTACTCGGCACATCAATAATGGGGGAAGAACCGATAAAGTCTGTAGAACTCTTCATACTCATTTGGCTTATTTTTGCCCATATTCTATGGTCTTACACGGAAACTAAAGGACGAATAGTCTGGAATAGCGGAAAAGCGAACATTGGACGTTTCGTCTGAGCATAATATCTATATGAAAAAGTGACTGTGTTCTCCGTTCTAGTATTCAAGAAGTTTACCTTATCTCATTAGCTCATTTCCGGTTCAATTAATGGAGCCAGAACGATAAAGAAGAAAAAGAAGGCCTTGAGAGCGGTGTCGCTGGCATATTTTCCACCGATTTAGATGGAGGCTAACGATGTGGAATAATGCCTATAGTATATAAGCTCGATTTATTAGCACCTTCATTTCTACTGCCACTTGCACCGCGCTCTTACTTGAGCGTATTCGCGCGCTGCACTTCTTTAAAGTGAGATTTTTCTCGAAATTTCCCGGAAACCCCCAATATTCAGCTATGGTCACGGAAGTTTCCAACGTTGACTATTCTGGAAATCTTTGCTGTCAACACTATACCTATCTGTTCCATCAGAACAATCAAAATCACATAATAGGTTCATAAGTACTCAGATTTTTTTTGTGAACCTTAGTCGTCGTCAATGTTTCAAGACATGGGTTTTTTTGTCTAGTCCTAATGAGAAAGTTGGCGCGCGCGGGTGAACCGAATCTCAAGAGCAAAAATAGTTTCGTATGCTCGAAGTCGTTGACCTACTCGTAGTCTTGATGGGACTTTAAGGAGTAGCAAAATAGGTCGCAACACTTGCAAGAAATTACAAAATGGCTGAGTGTATGTAACTAGCGCTTTCATTTGTACCGCAACAACAGTCCGAAGCATTCGTGACGGCTGAGATTCAGATAAAAAAGATATGAATTGCCCCCTATACAGGAGGGGGGGGGGCAAAAAAAGTCACTTCGACCGAGTCACATATCAGCAAAGTTTTCGCAGCCCAGACAGAGGACGTGGATACGAGTACCAGGGCGGAAGATACCCAAGATGTTCCTCGATAAGCAGGAGCTGGCTCTCGCCCATCACCTTCATGTACACCAAAATATGAAGTCATCTCCAGTCGCAGCCTGACTGGAGAAGACCTTCAGGAATTTAAGCGCCGTATCCCGAGGAAACCATTCAACTCTGCAGTGTCGTGTCGGATTAAGTCATTTCGGAGGTTAATGTCTCGAAGGATACTGTTAGGCGTCTCTTGAAAAACTCCTGAGTTCACCCACAGGAGGAATATGAGTTGGGCACTGTTTCTAA